TCTGATTTTTGCCTGAACAACGCATTTGTGTTCCACAAAAAGTTCTTTCATGTTTTCTAGTTTCTGTTTCTTCGATGGAAAATACATCACGTAGTATTTTTAAAGTTTTTGTGCGAAATGACCGAAAATCAGTATTTGACATGGACAATGTTTGCAATGACACATGCTCAGCTAAAGGCAGTGTCCAGGCTAAATCTAACACCTTCCGATTAGGGTCGATCCTGAATGTAGGCCCCACGAGAGGGGCATCTGCGTTAATCCGGTCCTCTAATGTTGTCTCTGAATGGAGATAAAGGGCCTGGAACAGCCGAAGTACTATCAGGCCCCGCCCAGATCTTATCAGACTCCGCCCACCCATGTAGCGAAAACGGCCCGCGCCCTCACGACAGGGTCCTTTAGAAATCGGCTTTTTTGGGGGTTTTGGACTATTTGAACTTCCTAATTCTAATCAAGGCCACGAGGTCCCAGAATGGCAAAAACATTGGAGGCAAAATTTCGAGTGGACGCTGCCTTCAAGAATTATTCGAAAATATAGGGGTAAACCCTAGCTCCCATGGGCCAAATTTGAACTGGCATGCATGCTGGCTGGCTCATTTATTTCATTCGGAAATGTAGGGAGCAGCCAAAACATATTGTTATTTAGGGGTTACGCATGCTTCTATGATTAATTTATGTGTGCAAAATCCCCAAGGGGAGAAAGAACGGGTGGCTGAAAGAAAACGCATGTGTGGAGGGTTTGAAAAATTTGATGATTCTATTTTTTGAATTGGGTGAAAAAATGAGGTGTTTAGTGAGGTTTACACTTTGATTGAAATCTAAAAAGCAAATGGAATAGGGGGAGGGGGAAATTGAACCCGATGTTGTTTGATGAATTTGAATGTGAATCACTAACAGTTACCCAAATAACCTAGCTGCCCTTTGATTCAACTGCCGACGGCTGGAAGGCGGGGCTTTGCGACCTAATTAAGGCCGCTCGCCCCGCTACGCAATCTGCGTCTCTCCGCGCGTGCTGTCTGATAGCCTTAATTAGGTCACAAAGCCCCGCCTTCCAGCCACCAGGCCAGTCTAATTAAAAGTTACAGTAGGCATTATCAATAATTCAAGCAGTAAACATTCTTGGCTAAAAAAGTCAATCAAGTGACCAAAAAAGTGACCAAAGTCATCGTGTGTCATATGGTTGTGCTTGTGTGAATAAATGCTAAAATGTTTTTGTTTATATGATAAGCTGTATAAACAAACAAACCATAAAGATAAATGACTGGTATTGTGAAAACACTATGATTAGATGAAGGAATAAATTCTCGCAGACTGACTGATCAATGAAACAGGAAATATATAATGAATTGGCTAATGTACAAAAATAAAATGATGACGATGAACCGGAATGAGTACGTAAATGAATTGTACAACTTCGTCACCGATCCTCGCTCGGTCACTTCGAAGATAAACTTTCAATGAAACAGGAAATATTGAACAAAAGGTCATCGAATGATTATGTCCAAAAACATGAAAATTTACAATTATAGAGATTCAGGACGATCATTTTCTGAGCAAATTAAATATATCCGCATTCATGGAAATAATATTAACATTTTTTATTTTTATTGTATTTTATTTTACATCTAATTTTAGCCACTTCATATTCATCTTGTATCATTTATCTGTTACTCAATATTTTGTTGGTCTTACTTATAGTAGACATTTGAAATTTCGATGTTTTGTAATAAATTGAAGAATCAATTATAATGTGCGATTGGCACAGAACCACGCTCAATTTCATCGAACTTTTTTGCTACACTTATTTTTACAATGACAATAAGCTCTCGCACATACCTATTGCATTTCTCTCCACCTGAATAACCGGCTTTACACACTGAAACGAGAAAGCAACAATTATTCTAGAAATAGCGAAATGGTCGTGCGAAGAAATTGTTGCCGAGCAAGATTGTTAGAAGTAATTATACACCCATGACTAGAGTGAAAATTGTTAAGAATTCGTCGCTGAGGTTAACAAAAAACGGGGGGTATAAAAAGTCAGGAGAATATAACGGGAAGTTTCCAGAATAATTACTGTATTATTGAAAATATTCCAAGTCTCAAAGACTCTGAAAGAATCTAAAAAATATCTCTTTGGTCACCGCTATACCATGGTGCTGGAGCTCTCAAAAAAATCTTCAAAGGCGCAATTTCAACTAGACTAGAGAACCAGTAATCTGAAAGTGTTATTTGCAGAAGCGTTCGCTTCGGGACTCGCCGCGGTTCCACGCCATCTACTGTTTTTCTGGATTGGCTTCACGATTCTTTATCTAAGAATTATTCATTGACTAGCAATGAGCCTATACATAGGCCTCATAAATGATTGCTTTGAAACGGGAATAGATACATCTGTGAAAAGACATTTGATAATTCTACATAATATACAAGTTAGAAACTGTGATTTTTAAAATCTGATTTTATGCAAAAAATTTTCATTCTTGAAATATCTTAAAAATGCAATAATGACAGTTCTAGTATTTTATAATTATATTTAATAATTTTTTGCGAGATCGAACCCGCACAAAAATGTTATTATTTCCCGTTTTGGGCCATTAATTTATACACGAATGAGATGCGAGATGATGGTAGGTGTCTCTTGAATTTGTTCATTTCTAATTTTTCGTTCCACTTTTGAATCACTCGGTTGGAAAATTGCGGGGTGGGGTCGAAAAAAGTTTTGCTGGGTTGATTGCAGAAGTTTTTCATTCGCTATCCAGCAATTTTCCAAACAATTTTCCAGAATTTTCTCGGAATGTCACAGTCTTGCAAAATTTTCGTGGAACTGCGGAACTCTACCACAATATGGTCTCGGAACTTCCGCTCTTCTAATTTTATGACGTCACATTCTCGTCAAAATTTCTTTTCTTCCTGGAAATGCGGCAGACTAATGTTTGCAAAATCTTGGCATATATGGTCTTTCCCGCGGAAATTTTTTCAACAGACTGTCTACTTTTCTCTAGTACTTTTATAGTCTTTAGACTGGAAGGTTTTTTCCATTTTTTCAAATCTTTTACCCACCCCCCCCCCCCCTCCATAGCGTTTGCCGTTACCTTCTCCCTTGCGCCAGATGGCAACGCTCAGTACTGAGTAGTTTCGAGCTCTGACACGTAACAAAACCAGTTTCGATTCGTCTTGCCCCCCCCCCCCCTCCTCCTGCGTGTCCTCGCCCCGATCATGTAACCCGTCTGTCTCGACGATTAGGACCCTACAGGCGAAAGTGTGAGCAACAATAGGGGGCTGTAACCAGTCCTAGGCACTAACACTACCAGAACGGTCTCGCCCCCCTTTTCTCTTCCCCCCCCCCTCCGATAGCTTGTCCAAGAATCAACAGAAGTCATCATATGAAATCGGAGACACTCGAAAGGGAGGAGGGAGCGAGAGAGAGATGGGGCTGGCTTGATTTGAGTGCTTTGGCAATCATATAGAGCTTTTGATGCTAGGATTATCCTTTCCCGAGTTGGCATGTTAACAGGCTTGATTTGGAAGATTGCCAAAGGGGAGGGAGGGGGGTCCCACAGAGCCCTAATGCTTCAGCGCTAATCGGCTAAACATCACACACACTCGTAGCTTGCGCTCGTGCGATGTTTCGCAAATAAAGCTTTTGCAATAAAGATCAGACTTCCGGCCAGCCTCGCATGGGTGTGAGGAGGAGAACGAAGATCAGAGAGTGGCAAAGGACTAATTTATGTATATACTTCAGTCGAAAAAATTCGAAAAATCAAAAATGATTTTTTTCAATGTTTGTCACTTTTCTGCATTATTTTTTTGAACTATTCATTATGTTTGTTCGAGCGCTTTTTTTCGGTGCATCTAAGTGAGTATGTAAAACATATAAATAATTTTTGCATAATACTACTGAAATGTTTTGACACGATTGTAACTTAAAAGTTTGGGAACTTCAACATCCAATGAAAGAAGATCAATTTCTCAGAAGATTTAACACCCTACTGATATCTTTACAGCACTCAGAGAAATTTTGAAACGTCGGTGAAACAGAAAGTTTTTGAAACTCGCTGGAAGAGAGAACTTAGAAATTTGAAATCTAAACAGTTTTTGGACAAGAAATTTTCAAAATGTGTTAAAAACGGACTAGACTCAAATTCACTTCACTCATAGAGAACGAAGAATATTTGAAACATGAAATTTTCCTAAATTTTTCTAAAACATCTCAGAGACTCTCTAATCATACTCGTTCTAAAAAATATAGTTATCAAAATATTGAAAAAGAATTTCGAAACGAAGAGAATCAGAACAGTTCAAAAGAAAAAGTCTTTAGGTTTGTGTGAAATGAACAAGAAAATTTTGCTTATGCGGTTTTCGTGTTCAATTTCGAATATCAAAAAAGTTAATTATCCGGTTAATTTTCAGATTTTTGTTTAAAATTCTTGAATTTTTTGCGGTTATAATTTTCATTCTTTCAGTGCGTAAGCTAGTTTTCGATTTGAAAACTCAATTAAACTCTACAAAACTTGGAAATATTTCCTCTAATATATCATCAAAGTCTCAAAGATATTATGGGGACTCAGCACAGATTTCAAATCTGCTTATATTATGACTCACACATTTCGTTTGTTGAACTTTTATAAACATTTATGAAACTCTATAAATAAACTCAGCAGTTTGGGAACTTTAAGACTGAATTTGTGCATGCAAGCTGCAAAAATACTACGTATCCTGTCATTTTTTTCGTTTTTATGTTTTCTTTTTGTGTCTTTGAATTGGCTTTGTTTGCAGCACAAGCATTTCGCTGTAATAGAGAGGAGCGAGGAGAGAGAGTTGCCCGCGCGTTGGAGTGGACGGCAACAGGTCAGGAACAGCAAAATTACTACGGGGGAATTTTGGGAGGAAACGAGATTCGAGGCGAAAATGAAGGCCATAAAAATATAAAAGAAATTGACAAAATGATGAAGAAAATGAGGTAAAAATAAGCAAAAAAGCAGAAAATTCAGAAAAAAATTGCTTACCTCGGGATTTGCAGTGATGCTAGCGATGAAAACTTTCAGCGGTGCCATAGCTAGTCGAGTAGAGGGGGGACGAGTTCTACCGGCTCGTGGTTGTGTTGTTCTGGAACTGGAAACACACTGCTTTCTCAGTTCACGAAGATGAAGCCCACCAACAGCGGCCGAAATCAATGGCACAGCGAGCGGCGAGGGGCGGGTCAAGCCCCAGCAACGTTGGCCAGCCCTCCCCCCCCCCCCCGCCACCGTTGACAACGACAGACAGAACAGACACGGGAGACGGCTTTGATTTCAAATGTCTGAGGAGAAATTTTCGCGCCAAAATGGGGAAAAGTTCGCGAGAGAGAAAATATTGGATTGGTATTCAAGTCTTGCACCAGATCTTAAAAAAACTCGCTTGAAAAGGCTTAAAAACGACAAAGAAATCTTGGCCCCCCAAAGTGCATAGGAAGTCTTGAAAAGAAGATTAACTAGATTACTGTACGCTACTGTACGTTCTTAGTGAGCTGATTCTAACTGGTTCTAGTTCCATATTTTATTTTGGTTTGTTTTATTTTGTCTTCTTATCCAGTGATGCCGAACGAATGTGGTTAGTTCAACAAAAACCACATCAGAACGGAACGGCAAAGCTCATCAACCTGAATCGCTCGAGAGCCAATTACAACTTTTTGAATTCAAAAAATGAATTATTGTTTCTGTTTGTTGATATAAATGGCGCAACTAGAATGTAATAGAAAATAGATTCAGCTGTGTCTAATAGATTTTCGAGCAAAAGATAAGCGAAGATAAAAAATACTTGAGATTTCCATTTTTTACGACTTTTTAGGATGTAGTAGAATTAAAAATTATTGATTGAAAATACAAGTTGTATGAAAGTTCCAATGTTGAAAATCATAATTATGGTGGAAAAGATAGAAAATTTGAAAAAGGATGTATTATTTTTTTTTATTGCACAAAAAAGTATCTCACGTAATGTAATTAAAAAACTGAAGTCGATCTTGGTGAAAATAAATAATTGTTAGTCAACAGGATGGAAAGTCGAGGACGTGAATTAATAGATTTTTATTGTTAGTTAGCAGGATAAAAATTCGAAATATGTGTAGACAAATAAATCTTCGGAAATCACAAAAGTCTTCTTCCTGAATCAATGGTCTTGAAAGGTGATGAACTGCCGATGACAGATAAATGCAAACGAACATTTTATAAATACCTGCATAATTAGGTACGGCTTCAAAACATCTTACATTTCAAGAAAGCAAAAATTGTCAAGCAAAAGATGTCAAGCTGACTGAGTTCATGAACGAAGCCTTTGCGAGAATAGGTTTGAAGGAAAAACAAATTGGTTGCTTAAAGCCCTTATAGTGATGAATTATGGGAGCTCAGGTTAGTTGAAACTAGCGCAATTCGAACAAATTATTGAGTGGAAAATTGACATTCCAAATTTTTGGTGCTTAGAATTTTGAGCTTAGATTTGGGATAATCAGTTTAATTTGAAAAAAGCAAAATAGTCTTGGAAGTGCTCATGCTTTGAAGCTGTTTGCCTTGCAAGTCACACTTGCAGACAGTGCAAGTACATAAAGTTCATGATCAGAGCAATGCTTTTGCAAGAAAATCGATAAAAAGAAGCTTTTCTTCAGAAGACAATTTATTCAGAGAAAATAAGCAATATAAGCTCAGTAAATCATTCAGGCTTCAAGATGCTATAAATCTTGCTGCACTATCTGCACTTTGCATCTTAAAGGGCATGAAAATGTACTAGATTATTTGGAGGAAATTAGAAAATTAAAAATTTTTTTGGGAAATTTGTTTGTCACAATTTATGTTTATTTCAAATTATTTCAAATATATTTTATAAAAAATGCTGCTATTGTTTTGTTTCTAATCCTCAAAACTTGTATTAACACAGATTCGAAAAACAGCAAAATCTTCACAATAGCTAAAAAGGATTGAAGATAATGCAAATAAATTGAATTTGGATCACCCTGGAATTTCTAAAAACGTTACAGCTCCAAAACCTGAACTTTTTTCGATTTTTTTCCGAAATCACTGTTAAAATCAGAGCACGCAAAAATTTCTGAATCTTTCCTGTTTCAACGCGTTCATTTACGGCGAGAAGAATGTTAGCGTGGTTGCATGTGAGTTCCCTCGGAAATGATTTGTTTAGAGAGGATGGGTGTAATAACTTTTTGATACAAATGTACTATTCTGGAATCAAGTACTATTAGAACAGATGTTCAAGTACACAGAGCTGCAACCGGAAAATTTCTGCAGACTCTATTATCGATAATTTATATTCAAATCGATTCTGATGAGATTACAATAATATTTTGCATGACTCAATTTTTCGATTACAGAATATTTTCTTTGGGAAAGGGTTTTTTGCTACTTGCTACCTTATTATTATTTGTAAACATACAATTTTACTACTAGAAGAAAGTAACGACATTCGACAATTTTGTTAATCGCCTAACTGATTTTTATTGTTTCTAGAACTTTCTTGTAATTTTTCTAATTTTTTACTATGCGCCCTCGAACATAATTTCCCAGAATCTCACAAATCGCCACTTTAAATTCTGACTTTATTTTTTCCTACTCAGTTTCAACCTCCCGTGATCGATCTCGATTTTTCCTGATTTTCAAGAAAACATGTTTTTGTTAAACAAATGTAAAACAAAATAAATCTTCACTGCTGCTATACACGAGAAAATCACTTTGCACTTTGAAAATTTCTGTAGATAATTAAATCAACGAAAAACTCCTCAGTGTGCAGATAGCGTGATTGAACAGTATTCTTTCGATACATTCCCCAGTTGATTAAATCTTTCCGCGTCGAAACTTTTTTTTGAAAATGAACCGAACTGAACATCAAATCGAATATAACGAAGGCAAATTCTAATGCGGAGTAGCGATTCCCTAGGGTATTTCAAGAGAACAAAATCAGCACAGACCAAGAAGTGCTAATTTTTTAGCTTTATTTCACTATTCCTTTTTTCTAATTTTCCGAGAATGTGTAAAACCTGATGAGCTACTGAAATTTGTAAAATCTTAGGAAATGCTTCATTTACCGACTCCGGATCTACCACCATCCGTGAAGCGTGTCGACGGAATGCGGAACGATGGTTGGGTCGCATACCTGCTGTTTATCACTGTTTTGAAGCGGGAAATTTCGCAGAATCTATAGAGTTAGTAGGGGGTTCATTCATTTCATACAAAAAACATCTCCTATTAAATTTTTGGCTATAAAAAAGATTAATTCAAGGAAGTTACTCAAATTATCCATAATTAAAAAGGTTATTCCGTCTACCCCAATGACAGAAGTTTTTTGGACGATTTTTGAAATTGAAAAATATCGATGCCTATTGAATGACGTAGCAGTGAGAAACCGGAAAAAATTAGAAACAGTCATAGGTGTCGCCGATGTTGTGAATCATTGCAAAACATTGTTGAATGAGTCAAGCGGAAAACATCTCGCAAAAATTTCATTCTGCAGCTTTTATTGAAATTTTAACGATTTTATTTTGGTTAGTGTAGTTCTACTATTCTAAAGAACGTGTAGGAGAGTTTTCGAAGGATAAATCCTCAGAAAACTTTGAAAATCACATTATTTTTTCGTAGATTTACAAAATTATTCCAAATTGATGGTGAGATAAAATACAAAAGGTCACACGTGCAAATAACGCCGTCACTCTTCAGTTTTGTTTTTTACAATAATAGCAATCAAACCCTTTTGCACCAAAATTGTATTAACCACTTCTATCATCGAGATCACAATATCTTCAAGAATTCCAAAAATTTTTGCCGCTCCTAAAATTTTACCTTTTTTTAGCCATTTATTTCACTAAAACTCAGGTACACAGTGGAAAAAAAATAAATATTTCTGCTTATATAGCGGCTAAACATCCAAACACTGAACATCCGTTAATTTGATGAATTCTTTCATCCCAGACAAATAGGACATAAGTTTTATTTTTATTATTTGTATGATGAAATTATCGATGCCAAAATCTACAACCATAACTATAAGTACAGCAAAGAGTAGAATAGTCTCTTAAATAGGTGACGAGTCCGTAGCAAGGCTCTGCACGAGGTGGTTTTTGGAAAATGCAAGAAACGAAGTCCCCTTTGACGCTAACCCTAAACTTATAAAATCCTTAGAAACGGAACGTCGACAAGAAAACTTCACAATTTTTGCGCCTCGAAAACGATACTCCTTTTACTTTTTGTCCCAAAAACTATATCCAGCTCGCTTATAAGCTACCTGTGCCGAGCCCTAATCCGTAACTTCGAGCAGAAGGTGTGAAAACAAGAATAAAGTTGGGCAATACACTAGTTCTCGGTTTAGTCGTTCCATGCACACAATGGTGCGTATATTACCCACGTAATCTCAAGCATAGCGATCGTTACAGTTTTTATGAAGCGAACAACCTACCATAAACCATTACAAACGTTGAGTACTGGTACGTGTACTCTGCACTAAAGGTAGTAGTAATAATAATAGTAAGTTTTTGAGCAACTGAAACTTGCAAAATTTCAAAATTGTTCCAGATCAGGAAAAGCAAAATAACACTTGAGCTAGTTTTTAAAATTTATTGCTTTTTATTGAAAATAAATTTTTCAGAAAATTTCGATTGCTAAGTAAGTTCAGCAAAGTTTCTTTAACTCCTATGTTTGTCTCAGATACTCGAAAAAATCTTTCTGAAAGGAACAACGCTCTTGATTCTTTCCAGATATTATGTAACCATTTTTTGAAGTTTTTCTGAGAATTTTTTGTTTCACACATTGTTTTTGAAGTTTCAATATAGGTGAGCTTCAATGAATGCAGAGACTACAGAAATACAAGGAAGCAAGTACACGGCGCTTCAAAGTCAACAAAATAAATCAATAATAATAACAACAAAATGTTACAAAATTGGATGTTCTTAAATCGTTCCGCAAATTTTCGCTTCGTTCACTGCTAAATAAATCATATCAGAGCAAGAAGAACGTTTCGTTTCTAATTTCAGGCCAAGAAAAATACTAAGATAAGAGCAATAAACCCATTTTAGCAATCGTAAATAACGTCTTACTACTTTCAAACGTCAGTCGGGAACATTTCAGCAAATTGCCAGTTTTATTTTTCTGAAGTTTTATTGAATGGATTACGATAGTCTGATGAACGAAATAATTTATTTGTAGAAT